AATGCTTCAGAGTGCAGTTCTGACTCCACAAGTTTATAAGGTATTACTAGTCAGAGTGAAGTTATAAAACCTTTAAGGATTCGTGGGGAGGAACCAAAATTGTCTACTTCTGTTATTAAAGAGTTTGAAAATGATGAATTTGACGGTGAATTGAATATATGTGATAATGATCATGATAGTGCAGATTTGTCTTTGGTTGATCATGATGAAATGGGGGGAATGCCTAATATTGCTAAGTTGAATAAAGGTTCTGTACCACCACAACGTGAAGTAGAATTGAATGCAGACGCGGTTGCAGAAGTTATGGATGCTTGTGAGACTGTCAGCGTAACTGATCAGCGTGTAGCCCACCTATCATCAGATGATAGTGCTAAAGCCGCACTAGTAGTGAAAGACAGCAATGGTGGTGATCTTGCAGTTAGACAAATTTCTGAAAGCCGAACAACAACAGCTTCTGATCCACCGCTAACTTCATCAACTGATATCAATCAGTCGTCGTTGGTGTTGTCATCCACGATGAAAAAGACGCCCATCAACTCAAGTATCTTGTGCAATGACTATGATAGTATTGGTGCATTTGAAAAGACGAAAGATATTGGTCAGTTTAGTGAGGATAAGCCAAGTGTAAACGAAAGAGTAATTGTTAAATTGACTTGAATGAATAGAGGCATTTCTAGTTTCAAGTTACTATTTGAATGCTATTATCTTTGGTGTAAATTACCCTGCGCCTACACTTGGTTGACCAGAAAGTTCGTGTGTTTGTTCGTCATCTATATTTTACGATACAATGACATGAGCATGTTGCCGTTCAGATTTGAGGATACAGCTGATAGAGGGAAGTCAGCAAATGAACTCTGCGACGATTTTCCAACCTAGGGCGTCAACGTGAGAAGGGTTGTAGGCGTACTGCTGTAAGTCCTACAATTCTCCAAAGGGTAGCGCATCAATGAGCAGCCCAACGTGCTTGGTATGTGCTTTTGCAAATATGTTCATGTTGTATATACTGAATTGATATCATCTGTCATCTAGTTGTTGGTAATTCTGTTTGTGTCCGGACGACTTCCACTTGGATCATCAACCTGAGAAGGAATGTAGGCGTACTGCTGTAAGTCCTACAGTTCCTCAAGGGTAGTTCGTCAAGGCAGAATCCACAACATCTGATGTGTTGATTGTACATATGTTTGTGTTAAATAATTGTGTGAGTTCCCATTATTGTAATTGTTGGTTAATCTTGTGTGTGTCCGGACATTCCACAACTTACAATCGTCAACCTGTGAAGGGTTGTAGGCGTACTGGTGTAATTCCTGCGATTCTTCAAAGGAATTCCATCAAGACATGATCCGAGAGTTTGTGTGTACTGTTTGTATATATGTGTGGTATGTCATTTCAATTGGTGATTTTGGATTCATTGTGTTTACTTGTTGTTTTCGTACCTTGTTGTTATTACCTAATTTTGTTAAAATTTTCGTCGTGATTACTTCTGAAGTTGTTTCTAGTCTTCTACATCCGTGAATGAATTGATTGATGTCAGAGACAGCAGATGGGTCGTATACGCCGGGGAGGCTATTGCTGAGAATGAAATGCATACGGAGATAATTGTTAGCTGCGATCCCACACTCCGGGGAGAAAGAGTGTAAACGACTGAGGCTCGCATACGTCACCGCTACTAGAACTGAGGCAGAATGAGTGACAAGCGATCGCAGTGGTAATTGGTAGTGAGTAGATAAGATGATGTGCGTAGAGTATCGTGAGGTGCTGCTATGGTCACGTCGTTTTCTGCAAGAGTCATTCTAGCAAGTGGCGATTGTGTTGCAAGAGATGTGTCAAGAGGATGCCTTCAACTGGAAGGCGCATGTCGTCGTCGATGAGTGAGATTGTGTTGTGGGTATGCCTGTGGTGTGTTGGCTTTTCTGTTTGTTTTCCATTACAGCTCTGTCCGTGTGACACAGGTTCTCGCAATGGCATCCAATTCAACGTGTATTGGTCGTGAAGGAAAAAAGGGATGGATCCGTTTTTTACCGGGGAGTGTCAATGTAGTTGAAGATTGAACGATCAATTCATGGTTGTTTGCTCAAAACCAACTTCCCCAATTTTCGCGCGGGCATTAATACACCAGCCATCGTCTCATCGGTCGCTGTTCAGAAAGAAGTCAGGAGACAACTGTCAGAAGTAATATTGTGATTTATTATTGTAATATTTGTTCACAGACCTTAGTTGTAACATTGTTTATATGTTGGTGTTACAATAAAGAATCCTCGAGTAGCCAATTGGTGTTTTGGTTTTTGCGTCCGTGATTACTAAGCGTTTCTGAGAAATTTCAAGGACCAGCGTGAGCCCGAGTGCAGCGAGAGCTGGGCATTAACGGTTTACGAGACGTGGCTGGCACATGGTATATTTAGAAGTGATCAACATCACTGTTATACCAATCCTAAAGGCAGAGACTCGTGTTTTGGATAGCACAAAGGAGGGCAATTAAGACTGTTTTGGGCTAAAATATAGAGTGACTTGTTCTGTCTGACAGGTGCTTCTTCATAATTTTAGCCGCCAAAGTACTAGGTGAGAACTGATTATGACATTCAGATTAGTGCACAATTGTACAACAGAGATAAATTACCCGAAAAACACTACGATAAACCTCAGCGTGATATCAGCAGAAGTGCCCATCACAGGGTTGCCATTAAGGTCCTGCTCAAAGTCTTTTTCCTTGGGGTCTTTCACCAGTGTGGGTCACCGACCACTGCTGCATCATTTGGCAAATTCTGTTTGTTTTTTTTATTATTTTTTTTATTTTTGATTTACAGCTTGATTCCACACTGTATTTTCGGTACAAGCATGGAATTTTCAGCATGGATATCGGTAGCCCAAATTTTGCAGGCCGACCATAGATATCAGATGTGCGTCGGTGCGTGCTCGAACCCCGGACCATGTGCATAGTCGGCGAGAGTCCTAACCACTGTGCCACCGACGCAGATGACTTAAAAATTTGGAGAGAGCTGAAGGGCAACAGTGATACGCTCACGTTGCAAGAGGACCTCAACAAATTGTCAGAGTGGTCCTTTGAATGGGTGCTCCCGACCAATGTGGCAAAATGTGCAACCATGCGCATTGGACAATCAAGCACAAGCTCCTACGAATTAGAGGGAATAACACTTCCATCAGTTCAGACTCACTTGGACTTAGGTGTCATAGTTAGCCACGACTTAAAAACTACAGCACACCGTCGCGCGGTGGCTGCACGTAGTTTCACGTCCTTATGGGCGATTCGCAGAGCCTTTACAAGAATTACCAGAGATATGTTCACCTCCTTATATACATCTCTGGTTAGGTCAAGACTGGAAAACTGCATCCAGGCCGCCAGTCCTTGTCTAAAAGGGGATTCACACATTCTAGAAAGTGTTCAAAGGAAGGCAACACGTATGGTTCACGCCATAGCTAATTTATCATACGAGAACAGACTAGACAGTTTAAGTCTCTTCTCACTGTCATACCGTAGGCAGAGAGGAGATTTAATCACAATGTTTTAAATAATGACTACGGACCTGGCCTATTCTCTATTTTCCTTCCCACTAGGTCGGAACACCTTAGAGGACATAGCAAGAAAGTTCAAAAGCCAAGGAGAAATCATATTGCTGTTGAGTACTGGTTCTCACATCGAGTCATACACTCTTGGAACCGACTCCCATAAAAAGTGGTGTCTGCAACCTCAACTGATTCGTTCAAGAAGAGTTTGGACAACCACAGAAATCTACTAGAAAAGGATTAACATAGGTTCCAAGCCTTCTATCCTCAACCAATAAATCTGAATCTGGATCACACACGAAAATTCTCCTACCATAAAAAGGATAAATATTCTTCAGTTGAATTATAAAGTAGGGAAGTGACCAGAGGTGTTATACGCATTGGCAAGAAATACCCAACTTCCAGAGAAATTTACTTTGATCCTCAAAAATCTAGAATGGTGAAGACTGAATAAAAGCCAACGCCATTACTATTATTTGGCGTCCTTAGGAACATAAAAGTCATTATTATTTTTTTATTTATTTATTTTGATTTACAGCTTGATTCCACACTGTATGTTTGGTACAAGTATGGAATTTTCAGCATGGATATCGGTAGCCCAAATTTTGCAGGCCGACCATAGATATCAGGTGTGCGTCGGCAGGGGCTCGAACCCCGGATCATGTGCATGGTCGGCGAGAGTCCTAACCACTGTGCTACCGATGCAATTCAATACGGATTCACCGATATCACATTAACATTTTGGAGCAGAATAAAATGCATGACTGACTTTATGTTTTACTTCAGTAGCAACGAAAATCAAAAGTGAATAGGATGACTTCAGTGAAGAGCAATAAACAGGATCTTGCGGACTTATTGTTGAAACCCTAAATTAATGACTACGGCATACTGTGCCATCCATTTAACTTCAGTTCGAATGTGAAAACAACCTTAAGACGACAGTGTTCAAACTGAAGTTAATAAGAAGTCATGTAGATTCAGATTACATATCAGTATACATACTTTTTCGTGTCAAAACTATTGCCACGGATTTACTGTTGGGTATATAATATCTAGTGGTGCTGAAAATATTCGTTACCTCAGATATATTGCCTTTAATTGCCTCGCATCCATGGAGGAACGATCCTTGTTTCTTGAGGGCTTTCTTGTTATTACGCGTATCTCGTTCACCTGACACACCTCACAATTCTGTTCCAACTTTATTCTGTATCTATATCTATTACTTCCAGTTTCGCCCATTTAACTTTCCACTTCTCCTATTTTTGCTGTATGTTCCCACTGTTTTGTCTTTCTTACAGTCAGTCCTTTTGTCTTACCTTCAGTATTTTATGTCTACCCATTTTGCTGAATCTCTTTGCATCAATTTCACTAAATCGTTTGTCTAAGTGAACGAAATCTATAATTTTCAGCAGCCCCGCTGCCATATTACAAATCAAACCAATGTGCTGCTTGTTCCTCCATCCAGGAGAGATGCATCAGTTGAGGGGTTTAACCGCGAAATAGAGGAATTTGTGTGACATCTAGAACAGAATGGTTCTAGATAACAAGATGCGAGCGCCACTGAAACACATGGTTTGAATGAGCTAATCAAAAGCTATTGGATATGAAGCCAATTTACTGAAGGCTGACCAATCAAAATCAAGTAAAAGCCGGTGACCTTGTTGTCTGGGAAAACTTAAATCTCCCAAGTATTGATTGGGATTCTGGGTCATTGTAGAGTGCATTAACGAGAAATGGGCGACGGAAGCAGGAAGGCTGTTGTTAAAAATGCTGATATGTCTGAAGAAATGCAGCAAGACGCAATAGAAACAGCAACACATGCTTTCGAGAAATATAACATTGAGAAAGATGTAGCCGCTTACATTAAAAAAGAGGTGAGTATTGTATCCTGGTAATTCATTTCCGCAGTTTGATAAAAAGTACAGTCCAACATGGCACTGCGTTGTTGGAAGAAATTACGGAAGCTATGTGACACATGAAACCAAGCATTTCATTTACTTTTATGCTGGACAAGTTGCCATTCTTTTGTTCAAATCCGGTTAATGCATATTTCCATAAATGTATTTGAATGATTTAAAAAAATATAGAGTATATATAATCTGATGCAAATTTACCTCAAATTAATTTTCTCCAATATCTGTAAAGAAGCTTTTGCAGTCTAAGTGTCTTCCTGTATACGTCGAGTTCAGAATTTTGATTTTAAGCATCAGGCTTCGAGCCAATGTTTATCCTTTTCTGTTAATTACTTGTGCTTGTGTTTTCCCTTCTCGAGTGACTCAGTTAGACGTACAGACACTACTTCTTGCTAGGAGTTAATGTTTCTCTGGAAATATTAGTATTTTACTACGAAGTAGTGTGTCCTTGGATTTTGAGCTCCTGTTATATGCTTAGATTTATCCAGGCCTAGTTGTAAGAAGCAGAAAAGATAGATCAGGTTCATAGCTGTTCCGTAAATTTCAGGAGTTTGTGATTAGATTTAATTTCTTCCTAAGTTATAATAAACAGGAAGGATTCGGTCTTGTGATACCCAGAATCGTACGTGTAGCCATCGTTCGAACTCTTTCCAGTATGCATTATTGGAAATTCCAGCAAAAGCTCTAAGCGATACCTAGAAACTGTGACTGATTGAAGGTGTGCTGTAGTTTCTGAACTGTGAAACCCCGGGAAGTTGTATGCAATGGCACTTGTACGTTCAGTGTACGTGGTTGTGTACTTGTTACTTCAATGGAAAGCAACTTAGGGGGTTTCTAAAGCTTCCTTGTAGTTTCATTTCTGACCCTCTAAATTCTCTGGTCGTCTCCGTTATGAATCACAAGAGATTCGGAAAGCAAATATAGTTTGTTGGTTTACAAGGTAACTAGTAGTAAGCCAAGTATGTTGTCACATAGTGCATCGTTTCGTACTGGTTTTCCGGGAAGAGGTTTTCAAGCCATTCTTTACCCCATGCCTTCTATCGACAAGAGTTTCTTCAGTCCTGGTGGTGAGTAGGCTATCCGTGATTCCAAAGGTTTCCAGTTTTGTGACGAACAGTGTATTGTTGAAATCTATAGAGATGACGATTACGGATTTCTTATAATCCATGTGTTTGATACATCTCTTACCACGAGATACGCTGTGTACTAGAAGTTTCCCTGAAAGGCGCACTTTGCGTTACTTAAGTTGTCCCTTATTTCCTCGTTAAGTCATGAAAGCTTTCTTGGTAATTCCTCTCATTATCTTAAGTAAGTTGCTGCCAAGGCTAAGATGCTTGTAATTTGAAGGGTAGTAGCTAGATTCTACATTCCAGGTGATAGGGGAGAGTGGTAACATTGGTTGTATGAGAGGTGAACTGAAGACAGTCGTCAGTGGACACGTTGTGTATGCTACCAGCTCCTTGAGAAGCCTTGGGTGATATCTATCGGGTCCGACCAGTCTCAAAACAGAAGGACAAGAAGCCCAGCAAATAGATGTAGCTATTCAGTGATTTCATCCTCAAAAGGTACACAATTGCGTCTCTCCCCATAGGTCTACATTAACTAAAATTAGTCTCCAATTCAACATAGTAACGATGGAAGATCCTCTACTTGATATGAAAGTGTGCATACTGATCGGAAAGGGTATGGAAATAGGATTACATAGAACTAGAAAGTGGTTACGCAATATACAGATAGGTGTGGACGGGATGTGCTTAGAAACAAAACAAAGTAATAGTTTTTTAACTGAAGAGAAAAAGCATGAAGGGCCTGGAAAAAAACAAATAAACGAAAACCAAGGAGTCAAACAGAACTAGGTGCGCGGTAGGTGCTGATTACTGGCCATCTTCCGTTGAACACAGCTCCGGATTCTCTGTGTATATGGTGAGGACTTTTGTATTACAAAGAAGTGGGAAACACTGCCTTCAGTAGATATTATTGTTCACTTTGTAAATGACTGAATGATGAGTCAGTTGGAATCCTGACGAGGTGTTAAATCATAACGCTTCTGATTTCACTGTATGCAGCTTGCTTTAATATTTTGAATCTGGCGTTCTGGTCGATGTCAATAGAAAATATGCTGTTCTTTTTTGTGGCTAATCCGGCGTGTCTTGATGATTCTTGTGTTGAGACCCTGGTGAAGTAACTTGCCACTCTCCCAGGTCTATTTTCCTCGATTGTAGCTGTGGCAGTGATCAGGCTTGGGACTTCATGATGCATATTGCTCCAGAGGTTCCTGTACAAAAATAATCTTTTAGGTTTGCCAATAACCTTTGGGCTAGGTATATTTCGGATTTCATTCGTAGTTGATACATTTTAACTAGTGGCTTATTTCCAGCTTCTTGACCTCGGAAATCTCAAAGGTGAAAGCCAGGGAATTGCGCTCTCTCCTGAGCAGATCATGAACTCCGGTTTATGCCTGCCAGACAGGGTGTTCGTTTCAAGGACAACCCAGGGATTGCAGTGTTGGGGTTTAGGGCGTGTATTTGCTTAAATGGCTCGAAATACTTGAAATGACCCCATGCAAACTCATCATGTGTCTCCGGACTGATGACTCAGTCATTTGTTGATGCTGTAAATAAATATCACATGTTGCGTTTCAATATGTTTGATAATTTGACACGAATCACTTCTCAAAAAAGAACTTAATGGTGAGCATGGAGTAATTACTTTCTCATAGAGGTGGAAGTTGTATGCACCATTATGGATAAGATTTTATTTTGATAATTCACACAGTGTTGTACAGTACTAGGGCAGAAAAGACACTGCTTGACTGGATCCCGGTAGATAGCCGAATGTGTGCTGTCCGTCTGAACGGATCAGTAAGAAGGAGAAAGGACTGCACTACTCGCCGATGCCTTTTCGTAATCTCCGCCTACGCCCCCACTGACTGCAGTTCGGATGAAACGAAGGATGAGTTCTACCAAAAGCTGTCTAGTTTGGTGAGAAAGGCTAAACGCTCAGATATAGTCGTTCTAGCTGGTGACTTTAACGCTCAAGTAGGGAAATTGTGTCAATCTGAGAAGGATGTCGGTGGCACCTATGGAGTTCCGTGCCAGCGAACCGACAACGGTGACCGTCTCCTACAGTTCTGTTCAGATAATCATTTGTTTCTTGTAAGCACTAACTTTAAACACAAGGAGAGACACTGTTTAACCTGGCGACCCCCATCATCAAACCAACGCTGGACACAAATAGACCACATAGCAATAAGCTATCGTTGGCGTGGGTCGGTAGGAGATTGTCGCTCCTTCTGGAACACGTGTGTAGATACCGATCACGCACTGGTCCGGGCTCGTGTGTGCTTACGACTGAACGGACGTAGGAAACAGCTGGCGGTAAAACCATCACGTCCCCAGCTCGATCAGGAAACTAAATCCCTATTTGAGGAAGAACTAGCTAAACGCATATCTGAATTCGACAGCTGTGCTCACCCTGGAGAAGCCTGGAAGAATATTCAGTCAGCTATAGATACAGCTGTAAAAGCTGTGAATAAGGCAAATCCAAAGGTGAGTAAAAACCACTGGATTTCGACTGCCTCATCCGAACTGATAGATGCTAGAAGACTTATTCCGGCGAGCTCCGAATTCAATGAGGAGCGAAAGCTGCACAAAAGGAAACTTACTAAAAGTCTCCGCAAGGACCGTGAACAGTGGTGGGTGACAAAGGCGAAAGAGATGGAAAAAGCATCGGCGATAGGCAACACTAGGCAACTCTTTAGACTCATCACAGAATCGGGTGGGAGAAGGCAATTCATAAGTGAGACTATTTCTGAGAAAAATGGCTCCTTAATTAGCTCTCAGGATAGACGCCTTGAACGCTGGAAAGAACACTTTGAGGAACAATTTAACTTGCCTACAGCCACACTGAACCTCCCCGCCATCCACCACGTACCCGAATGGGATATAGACACTGGTCCGCCGTCTGTAGGTGAGGTTACAAAAGCTATCAGTAATTTGAAACGAGGCAAAGCGGCAGGACCCGACGGAATTATTCCGGAGGTGTTTAAATATGGGGGTGACATACTAGTTTGTAGATTAACTGAGGTACTAGGCAAAGTCTGGGAATCAGAGACAGTTCCATCAGACTGGGGTAAGTCACTTATTATACCGATATTCAAGAAGGGAAACAAGTCCTCGTGTGATAATCATAGGGGGATCAGCCTAACGAACATAGTCTCTAAAATCCTAGGCTCAGTAATCATGCATAGACTAAGCAGAACTCGGGAGGAACAGACAAGGGAAAATCAAGCAGGCTTTAGACCAGGTAGAGGGTGCATAGATCATATCTTCACTCTTCGACAGATTCTAGAACATAGACACACTTTTCGGCGTCCAACAATTGTCATATTTCTTGACTTGAAGGCGGCCTTCGACTCCGTGGATCGAAAGGTACTATGGCAATGTCTGACTGTGAAGGGAGTGCCAAGAAAGTACATTGCACTAATCAAGGCACTCTATTCAAACTCACGTAGTCGTGTAAGGGCTTATGGGGAATTGTCATCTGAATTGGTAACAACCAGTGGTGTCCGACAGGGATGTCCACTTTCCCCATTTCTGTTTAACTTCATCATAGATATGCTAATGGAAGTATCCTTAACTGAACGTAGTGACTTAGGAATCGACTTGTTACCAGGGAATAATCTAATGGACTTAGAATATGCAGATGACATAGTCCTGTTAGGGGAGGATGCTGACAAAATGCAGAGTCTTCTGAACACCTTGAGCAGCAATCTTCGTATGTTTGGCATGCGATTCGCCCCTGCAAAATGTAAGATGCTGCTACAGGACTGGACCACGTCAACCCTAACTTAGTGATAGGGAGTGAAGTGATAGAACATGTTGACCACTTCACCTACTTGGGAAGTTGTATTAGCACCAACGGACTGATTGGCGATGAAATCTCAGCACGGATCCGAAAAGCTCGAGCTGCTTTCGCTGACTTACACCATCTCTGGCGTAGGCGTGACATCCGGTTATCAACCAAGGGACGTGTGTACTGCTCATCAGTTCGCTCCGTCCTTCTCTATGGCTCTGAAACATGGCCAATACGCGTTGAAGACATGAAAAGGTTGACTGCTTTCGATCATAG